GAATTGCGACTATTCAATCATTACTTTCCATTCTTGATAGTGTAAAATCGTTTGGGTAGCCTTGCGAGGGAAGATTTATTTTCCACTCTCCGACATCTTTTCCACGGACACAACGTCGCAAACCAAATGTTCAGATAAGCTCTATTCTTTAGTTCCACCAGTTCAGACCTTTGCAACCAGGACACGCAATGCTACTTCCACGGAGTCAAATCACCCTCATTTCCTACGTGTTCTAAATATAAGAAGACAGTCCACTCGGAGTGAATTTTCCACAAGAATTGCCACTTCCCTGAACAGCTTAATCTTGATCGCTTCAAATCAAGGGTCAATTCACTTCCTACAATCTTCTCCCACACTTCATCCATTTCAACTGAAACCTTCTACTTTGGATGGCTATGAAGTCTTATATCGGGTGAAATTTTAATAAAACATTATGATTTCACACAAAGATGAAGCTCTTGCAGTTAAGCGAAATCAGAAAGGTGCGTCGAAGCATTTTTTTTAAACTTATCAACCCATGCAAGGAAATAAAGCTACTAAGACACAAGGGGTTACTGAGTGTGAAAGAATTAGATAATGGAGATCAATAGAAGAGTAATCATGAAGACAATAGATAACGATTGACATTGCATTTAAATTTTTGATGATCAATGTTGGCTGGAAATCATAGAAACGGGAATGAATTTCAAAGCGAGAAGTGCGAAAAAAGAAACTGTCAGCATAGAACTTACGGTTGAATCTCGCCAATTCAATTGTGAATTGATGAGACCTTGTTGCCAATCTAGTACTGCGCTTATTCATAAAGTCTAGGTGCCATAGCGAAGAGAGATATTTATTTTTGAAAATACAAAATGTGGCACAAGGCCAAACTGGGGAAAAGGACGGTCTTGTTCTGTCTTAAATTTAAACTTAGCTAGCCACAATCAGTGACCCAAACATACTACAATATTCCTAACACCAAAACAACACATTCTTAATTACCATTCTTACTACAACCACCATAATGCCTCAATGTCTCTATAAAAAACTTAAATAGTCCCCATATGTACAATTCATGTTTAATGGGGGGGGCGAATAAATAACAATTTAAAATCTAACTCCCATGTGTATTTACAATATGAAAAATATACCTACATTCGAACAGTTATCATGAAAGTATTTATAGAAAAAGCAACTTTACGGCTGTGGAAAAGTGACTGAAGCCGAGATGCCAGGTCAGGACCAATAATATTGCTGATACTTCTTTGGATTTTATCAAAAATCTCTAAATATACATCAGGAGCACCGGACCATATGTGGCAGCAATATTCAAAACATGGATGATTAGTAGACTTAAAAATATGTAAGATAGGTTCAGAGGAGAAGAATTGTCTTACACGACACAGTGAACCAACTTTCTTGGTAGCAGATCAAGCTGTTTTTATTTTTAAATTTTCTATTTAATTTAGAGATGATCTCAGACGAATCATTTCAGCTTCAAAGAGCTTCAAAGGATAAATATATTTGCTGAATAGTGTTCGAGTTCATGTAAAGATCAGGATTTCGAATGTTGAAAAATATTAAGGTGATCAAACTAACCCCATCAGCTTGGAAAACTGGCGCAACACAGTCATCCTACACAGAATCTTGTTCAGTTTGGATTTATGTTGGAATACATTAAATAAATATCAATAAACATTGGTATAATCCATGTAATCCATTTATAATCTATTAGTAGTTGAGATAGTTACGTGTATATCGCCAGTGAAAATGATTGATATTCGAGCCCAGGCAACAGCTAGGATTTCGAGTGTTAATTTTCAAGGCAGGCACTTGGAAGACTGATGCAACACAATATTCGAGTACACGTTTTCCGTCATTTTAATCTATGACGAACAAAACTATGCTAAACTATAGCTTAATTTTGTAACAAGCCATAATTACCACCAAATATTTATACTAAATGATTATTTAACGTGATATTTTTTTATGCTGAAAATATAATTTTCAGGGCAGGAATACAAATGAAAAACAAATTCTAAATCGTATAAAAACAATTCAGAATTCACTAAAATTGATCATATGAAATATAGCGTTTTAGTCCATTTACCTTCTATATAAGCCATTTTATTTTTAAATGTTTCCATGTTGTAAATTTATTTTCCCACAAGTGCAAAACAGTTTCCCCGCTAAAACATATGGTTTTTTACTTATATAGGAACCGAAAACCCAATCCTAAACAGGAAACAAGCGATAAAACTCTACTCCTGTTCAAATATATATATATTTGAAGAGGAGTAGAGGTTTATATATATATATATATATGTGTGTGTGTGTGTGTGTGTGTGTGTGACGCTTTTCTATGAAAAAACTTGAAAAAGCCTGTAACGATTATGAACATCCAAGAAGATACGCTCATTTTAAAAATCTCACTGCGTGAAACAGTTTGTTGATGGGTAAATAATCAAAAAAATTATTTTTATATCTATTAAAAAAAAAAATATATATATATATATATATATATATATATATATATATATATATATATATATTAATTAACTGTGGGTAAAGTATCAGAGCTGACTGAGCTCTTTGGCCTTTGCAAGGTCACCAGTCTAGTAAACGAATAATTATGAATTCAATATCATGAAGGATGCAACGGCAAATCACCGTCAACCTTTTTCAACAAAAGACATTGCAATTCATAGTGTAAACATATAGCGTGGGGGGGGTCATTCTCAGTCTTTCACTGACCTGAAAAATCAGCTCACGTTGTGTTTCCATTTCAGTTTGCATCGGTGTGCACAAAAACCAGAAATGGCTCACAAGAACTCGGGGGTTGAAAATATCGCCACGGCGAAAATGAAAAGGCGAATCCTGTTCCTATTATATAGGTTATTTATTCATAGATTCATTTCATGCGTTTGAAGGATGACGAGCAGATGTGACTTGGGACAACTTTAGAAGCTGTTGGATCCTTCCATGACAGACTAACGAACCACATCTTCCTTTCGGCCAGCTAGAACTCCATCTGTCACCACTTCTCTGTTCACCTCTACAAAACAATGTGCGTCATGCAGTCCATTAACGTGTGGCTTGAAAAGAAATGTCCGTTCTAACTGTGACTTTACTTATATAAGTAAAAGTGGTACTTGAATCTGAAAGCTTTTATTTATTTATCTATTACTTTCACTTCTCTTCGACCTACGTCTAGACAGCGAAATGACTGCTTTGAATATCTTTCTTTCAGACATTATTGTCTACGCAGTCATAAAACCCGGCTAAGATAGAAAAACGGTCGCTCTTTCATGTCACGGGATATTTTGATTTCTGATAGACTTAGAAATCAGCTAAAAACCATCTATTACATCGCACTAAATTTTGAGAAATATCTCAACATCAATGAAGTTTAATTTGTCACAGGGAGATTGAGAAACCACTTTTAAATATGCAACATTAATTGTACTAAGGATGATGTAAATTTGCATACTCGCATTTAAGGAAAGAATTACTTTTTTGTCATTATCTTCTACATTCAATTTTAAGCAATTTTATCCTGTGTATAAATTGTTGAAATGTAGAAACAATTACATAAGGTTTAGACAATTGAAAGGAAGAGGGTGTGGTTCTGTTACATTCGACTTTAATGTTTCCTTATAAGGAAACGGCTAATATATTACATATATTACTACTGATATATAAAGTCTATGGTTAGGAACACCAAAACAGATCAAGAGACTAGAGGGATTCGGTTGGAGGTTCTGAACAACTTTTTAAACTGTGTCACATAGTTTATACAGCTGAACCTCAACAGAAAGCTGTAACAACGCGAGTCTATGCCTTTGCATCATTTTCTTTTATTTAATTTTAGCAAAATTGCCTCCCTCACAGAACCACTAGTAATGTTTGCAGTTTGGGTTCCATTTTTGTACATTTAAAACATCTGAATAATCAATGTTAAGTTTTGGAACTTTTTGCCCCAAAACCTTTTTTGCAATGTTGCATTATGTTTTACAATCAAAACAGAAAACTCAACTTTTCAACCCTTTTAAATTATTTAATTTCGCCAAAAAAGAACTATTTTAATCTAAAATTGACCTCTGATGACTTGAAGGTCAGTATCACCTATCCTGTCATCTATCCTGTTCAAGTTACCCCCGCCCATATACCAATTTATCTCCAAGAACGCAGCAGTCTGGTTCCAATACAGTCTCATACAGGTCATAGACTAATTCTACCTCTGATGACCTGTGGTGCCACCAGAGGTTGATTTCGATCTATCAGTTGAATGGTTTCCACGGGTAACTTCACATAGTATGTCAAAGCTGGATACCTATTGAGTCTTCATAACAAAAATTAGGCTACGATTTCTGTCCTTTGAGCAAGATCGTGTGGGAACACACACACAAACAAACAAAAGCCTCCAAGATGAAATGAAGGGCCAAAAGATTTAAAACAGCTACTTAGTAACGTTTGGCTCTTTCCATCACCTGAATAACAGTGGCTACGTGACGTAGAATGGAGTATAAAAGTACTGGAATTACTATGTGGGTATATGTTCCCAGGCACACCCAAGAGCAGTACATAACCGAGTTTCGTTTGCTGGATTTGGCTAGACTGAAATTTTCTGAAATGCCACACGCCCTAAACATGGTCAACGGGATTTAAATCTGGTGAGAGCGAGAGGCAATGTTGTACTTGAAACAATGTTCCTGGAACCATTTTTTTTGTCTTACACACTTGATGCATTATCATGTTGAAACAGTCACTACTGGGAAATATATTTTGATGTGAAATCTGTGAAAACAGACTCCAGTTTTACTAGTGGCCTCCGAAATTTCAACAAAACATACCCTACACAATTACTGATTCACCCATAGCTTGAACAACACTCTGCTGTCTTCGTGCAGTCTTCTCGATACACGAACTCGACCGTCTGCGTGGAATTCATATATTCTTACTTTACTCTTGCAATTGTCACCCCAGAAACAGAGTGACCCATTTTCTGTCTCCAGCAATCAATGACACCAATACGTTCCAACGCTTTTAAATCCCATTATTGTTACAAATATAACGCTCTCTCTCTCTCTCTCTCTCTCTCTCTCTCTCTCTCTCTATCTATCTATCTATCTATCTATCTATCTGCCAGTCAGTCTCCCCACCCAAGTTGTGTCTATTTTCGAGATCTGAGGAAGTTTCCAAGGAAATAGATTGAAACGTCTGTCGAATCGAAGGAATCATGTGACAAGAAAAATAAAGCGATGTGTAGGATAGGTAAAAAAAGTGCCTGTTTATAATCACAAAAATTATGCATTTATTCGATTAGGGTTACAATTTTCAGTATTAACATTTCTTGTTCGGTAGCACTGTGTTTTTCCTGTCTGTCGGTCACTTCTCGTGTGGTAAACCATTCCCTCTTCGTTCGATCAGTAACTGTTTTAGTACAAACTGGGAAACTGTTGCTAAAAGTTGTCTTCAGTTTCCCCCGAGTGTTCAACATACAGAAATTAAGTTGAAGAATCTTCTATTCTTGGCATTACGATAAGTGCACTTCACAAGAGCAGTTGAGAAAAGAAGTGGTAATTAGTTTGTTGGCTTCCGGATACTTCGCCTCAACGACAACTGCCAAAAGGGCAACATCGATTAGTTTATATTTCGAAGGCGTAGTTGGAACAGAATAATTGATTAATGATCCATAAGTCCTAATCAATCATTTTCCTCACTTTTCACAAATTTGACTTGATCAATACCCTGTCCAGTTCCAATGTTGCTACTCGGCTATTTCATTCGTTCAGGTCTCCCTCACTACTACCATCATAGCGAGACTACACCTTTTAATGTTATCAGATAATTCACTCAGGACCAATTAAGGCTTTTGTTGAAAATTATAATACCCCCTAGCGTCAATATTATCGATATAAAAAAAAAACAGGCGTCATAATGTTCTTACATTGTTATCAATTTTCTATTTAAATGTAAATTCACTTTCCAATCTCACCTCATTTACGTTCCGGTCAAGTAAATGCACAAACCTCACGAATAAATAGCTTTCGTTATCTAGTGAAACTGGGAAGTCCATCGTGTGTTATACTTTGACTCCTGCCAACCAACCGACTTCCAGGCCTTGTGTAAATATAATTGAGTTTCATTTTTCGAGACTCAATTATACAGGATAGCCATCAAGTTTGGATACATGAATTTGAATTAAAACGCCAGCTTCACCGAAGACTGTGTGTTGTTCAGAGACGATGATTACGTGAACGGTGAGGTTAACCGACAGAAGGTTGCGTACTAGTCGCAAAACAACGTTCGATGGGTCGTCCAAACAGTAAGGAACACAACAGATTAAGGTATTGTGTGCATTGTGGAAAGCTTATATGTTGGGACCGTTTGTTTTTATGGTATCGTAACTGATGAGACATAGTTACTGCACCAGATTGAAAGCTTAAGTAAAAGCCCCAAACCCACTTTTGAGTGGTTCCAACAGGAAGGAACTGCTGCCCATTACGTCATGGCAGTAAAAGACTGACTGAATGATAATTTCCCTAACTAGATTGGAAGATTTAGCCATATAGAATGGGCCCCTTGCTCACCAGATATTAGTCTCCTTGATTTCTTTGCGGGGGGGCATGCTAGATGGTGAAGGTGTATGGGTGTATTTAGACTTTACCAGTTTCTCTTGTCTCCTTTTCTTTCCAAACTTATTTCAAAATCAAAGATTTTTACTTGTATAATTAAGATAATCTCGAGATATTCCTAGTCTACTTTCAAAATCCAAATTACCTAAAACGGTCTTCCAGGCTTTCACCCTGCAGGATTAGCCCTGTTCCGACCGGTCACCAATTGTAGATTTCACTTACCTTTAAAATCCACACTAGAAATTGTGTCACACACTACACTATCACAGCTACACTGCCTCCTTATCTATTACAAGGTGAGAAAAGCGAAACTATCAAATGTAATGCTGTCTATAATTTGGGGAACACTTCACTTTATTAAAAAAAAAAGCTTGAAGAAGAAATACATCAGCTTAGCACAATGGCAAAATATGTTTTAGTCTTAGCTATACGTTTGTCTGGTTTTTAAATACATGTATAAATGAAAACTATTTTCTCTGAAAATTGTGTTGCTGTTGCCTAAAAATGCGAGAAACATCGTCAATGGTTCTACTTCATACTTTCACTGTTGCATTGTAAAAGAATTGTTACCTGGCTGTACTGGCCAGTCTTCGAAAAAGCAAGAAACTGCCATTTACTGGAAATAAATGATTATAAAGACGCTGACATTTTGGCTTGGATCAGATACTCTGTAGTACGGACTAAGCTAAACAACACCCCCAACATAGTGTATAATAAATTACGTTACAGAACAGTTCGTATTGTACGCTACACTGGATTGAAAATAACACTAAGCGCTAGTTTGCTTATAGTGCAAACGCTAAGGACTGATATTTCAGTGTCTTGAAAACGTATATATACGTCTACAGTAGACAATATAAGCATCGTAAAGGCGTATAAGTACGTCTACAGCAGTAGAAGTGTTAACTATAAATCCTAGCTTTTCACCTGCATCACTTGCTTCATTAAACATTGACCGTTGTTATCAGTACACCAAAGGAAGTTCGATGTCCTAATTGAATATTCTAACGAGGGGCTCTGTGCAACATTGACCTGATTACTTCATACTTAGCGATAGATCAGTGATGACACCATCCATAACAAATCGCATTTGTACCAATACCAGCCATAACAAATCGCACAAAACGCATCTTCATTTATATTAATCAAATTGTGAAAAATGATTCTCTGATCACAGTCAAATCTGGAATTTCGTGTTCGCTGACGGCATGTCCTGCATACATATCATTCATAGAAAAGGTACTTTGTCGTAGCTTAATGGTTAGCCAGCTGGGCACGCAGATAATTATTACAGGGTGAGTTTGGGCCTCATAAGGAAATTAAACATAGAATAAACTGTGGTGAGTTTAGTCTCGTCCAACACCGCAAATTGCTACGAAAACAAAACAGTAACCTAAAAAATTGTCAGCTCGAAATCTTTATATGGATGATATGCATGACATCAAACCCATTCAGAAATATATAAAGTGCCATCTGTACACAAACGCTTTCTCAAACCAATGAGAAAAAATAGCTTCCATCGAATGAAACCTTGTGGACTGGCGCTACAGAATCACAAACAATGAACTGTAACAAATAATATAGACCATATTCACTTGAGGACTACCAACAGCAGCAACAACTAAAATGGATAGCACGTGTAACTCGAAGAGAAAATAATGACCTAATCAAAATCTTGACACCAAATAAAAGGTTAGGAAGGAAACCCCTATCACTACTGGAAAGAGCGATAACAGCTACTAGGCTTGAAAAATATATTTTCCTAAGAAAAATTGTTTTAATAAAAAAATTTATAAATTTAAACCGAGGATGCTCAGTCAATGAATGTTAAATGTTTCCTTATAAGGAAACGACTAATAGTACCATTACCAAGAATGTAGCCTTGTGCCAAAAACTAAACTAAATTTACTAGACATAACAGAAATGTCTTGTGATATAACGGCAGTCAAGTAATTTAGAAAACTATCTGTGCTATAATTTGGATTTCCATTGCTTGACCAACATGCTAATAGAAAAGGCTTTCTTAGCCTGGAAAAAAAGTTTGTTTTGTGGTTCGGAACAGAAAAAATAGATTTTCTTGCTTTTTCTTTCCACCATCCATACAGTGTGAAGAAAGGGATTGCCTGGTGCTTACAACACCAGGCAAAAATCATAAGTGGCAACTGAGACACAAGAAATGATCAGCATCAAGCGTACCGTTCAGAATAACGACTACCCTGCAAACATAACATCAGCGTCTACAGGTGGGAACAGAAGGACTAAGGAGAAAACCAGAAAATTGCCATGATCTGCCTACTTTAAGTCAAGAGATTATCGGAAAAGATTCAGAAGATCTGCAGTCCATACAACACCAGGAAAATATTCAGAAGTAGCTCCACTCCGTGGAGAAATCTCTGCCTAACACGAGGGAGAACATGACCAAGAACTGCATGTACTCCATATTTTGCAGTTGTGGCAAATAATATAACAGTGAAGCAAGCTTCCCTATAAAAGTAAGGCGAGAGTAACACCGAAAAACTGTACTGAGATGCAAAACAATGAAATCGGGTATGACTGATCTTGTATGGAGGGATAAGGGTGGTTATCAGCTCTTGTGGCATGAAGTGAAAATACCGGACAAGGAAGAACACTGGAGAGTTAGACGTCTGAAAGAGTCAACGCATATGCTAGGTTATGAGGACCTCTTTAGTAGGCCTAGCTTAGAAATAAATACAATATGGAAGCCGTTAATAAAAGAAAGAAAGACAAATGACAGCAAGTCTTCAACAGCAGTAGCAGCAGACAAACATAGCAGGCAGCAGTAGCAGCACTAATCAGCAAGAAGATTAGGTTTAAGGCTCCAAGTCCACCACAGAGAATTGTCCTAAGAAACAATATCCTACTGGATTAAAGCGTTGGTTCATGAATTTGATGGTATAATAATTCTGGGTTCAATCCCTGGGTCAAGCAGTGTGTATCTGGACTAAAAGAAATATCCCTTGATATGGACAGTGATACGAGAACAGTCTATCTCTGTGGATTAAATAAAGGGTTCAGTGCATACTATTTTCCACCCTACAACCCCTTTCCTACAGACGAAACGTTGCCAGCCCCTCACTGCGCCATCTCTATTTCCATAGAAAGTGATCAGACGCACTACATTCCTTGGTTCCGCCATTGTTAACCTTAACTGCTAAGTCCCACCATGACACGCACATTGTAGCAAACATTGTAATCCTCTACTTCGAATGGCTGTTGGGCCTTGTACAGGGCGGACATTATTGTAAAAATATAGTAATATTTTAATAAACTAATAAACAATAGTATAAATTAAATAAATGAAAATATTACATTTTGCCTATGAAATTTGTTCAAGTCCTACGTAGCGTGTTTTTTTTCCTGAATTTTTTCCTATTATCTTTTTCATCTCGTCACATCTAACATATATGGCTTTAAGCACTCAGTTAAACTACTGATACCAGAGTTGAAAGACCCTTCCCTGCCACTCATCATTAAGGCTGATACTAATCTCCATCAGAGTGACTCTTTAAGCGACACCTTTTCGGGCTGACATTCTTGGCTGACATGAAATGGAAAGATTATATTGAACCCATTGCTGGATCTGCTGCTAAGAAAGTTGATTCACTGTGTTGTGCTAAACAATTTTTCTGTCCTGAGTCTATCTTGGATATTTATAAGTCTACTATTCACCCATGCTGTAAACATTGCTGCCACATTTGGTCTGGTGCACCTGCTGTATATTTAAAGATTCTTGATAAAATCCAAAGAAGTGTCAGCAATATTATTGGTCCTGACCTTACGTCACAGCTTTAGCCACTATCCCACCGCCATAATATAGCTTCTCTGTGCCTTTTCTATAAATATTTTCAACATTACTTACATTATTCGGAATATTGTCCTCATCTTTGTCGCCATATTTATTACAACGTTTCGGTCGTTGTACGCCCCGGCCTTCTTCAGGTGGATGGAATGTTGAACTGAACCCTTTATTTCGTTCACTTGGGTAGACTGTTCTAGTTTCACATGAAGAAGACCGGGGCGTACAACGGCCGAAACGTTGTAATAAATATGGCGACAAAAATGAGGACAATAGTCCGAATAATGTAAACAATGTACATAATACTTCATCTCAGAAATATAGACAAATATTTTCAAGGTAATTATTCGGATGAACACTGCCCTATGGTACCTAAACTTTATAAATTTAAGCGTAGTACTAGATTGACGGTAAGGCCTCGTCAATTTACAGTTGAATTGGCTAGATGTAACCGTAAGTTCTATGCTAACAGTTTTTTTCTCGCATTTCTCGCTTATGAAACTCTCTTCCTGCTCTATGCTTTTCAGTCAACTTTGATCTTCAAAGATTTAAGGGCAATGGCAATCGTTATTTACTGTCATCTTATTGTTCTAGGTCCTTAATAATGTTTCTCTTTTTCCTTATTCTTTCACACTCAGTACGTCCTTGTATCTTAGTGGCTTTTACTGCCTTGTATGATGTAATATGATTAGAAAAAAGCTATAACAAATCGCATCCCTACTGATGCTAGGTATAACAAATAGGCAAGAAAAAAATAGTCCGTTTTTGTATGTAAACATAATAAATCAACTTTTCTTTTTATTTCATAACTTTTATTCATCTTCTACATTTTTTTTTTTTAGATCCTTCAAAACATCCAGGGAAATTGACTGATTACCTCCAGAAACTATATGGCAATATCGTTGAAGAAAGTTTCCCAGGAGGAGTAAAGGTTGTCCATCTCTTTGAAGCAGATGACTTTGAAAGTGTTTATCGAAATGATGGGCAGTATCCTGTACGTGGGATCTTTCCTTTGGTTTGCAGATTTAATGCGAAATACAATAACAATTTACATGGCCTATCAACATCGTAAGTATGAAAAATATTTGACTAATATTATTTTAATATTTACACACGCACACACACACACACACACACACACACACACAGTAATATACATATAAAGAACTCGGTGTGTATGTGTGTGTTTGTGATATATTGGTTTTATTGAAGACCAACGAATATTCTTTGTTAAATTTTTTATTTAATTTTATTACGGTCTGGACAATTTTTTTTTTTTTTGTTTCCGGAAAAATTTGAACATAAATTGTCCGATATTCTTCGAAGCATTTTCAACCTCCATAGGCCATTATCAAAGAGTTTTATTTATTTATTTATTTATTTTGATGATAGAGTCGGGTCCATGTGCATGGATTTTTTTTTTACATTATATATATATATATATATATATATATATATATATATATATATATATATATATATATATATATGAAATAGTTGTGTAATTCACACTAGCGTTTCTGTTTGAGCCAGAAACAGTCAAAATTTTTGAATGCTGATTTTCATGGCAAACCCTTCTGACTTTAAAGACTGACTCAACACAATCTCCCTATTTCAATTTTAATTTGAACTGAACAAAATGGTTATTTATATCTAGTAATATTTTTTAAAATAATTTACCTTTTTCAGGGGAGGTAATCTACTTCAGATTACAGAATTTTGTAAACTTTAGTAAGGCGCCGCAGTATATATGAAAAATATTAATAATTCTTGGCAATCGCAATTCATTAAAGTACATGATCGCGTAACTGACTGACTGCAATGACCAGCGCTATTAATTGACGGAAGTTATTTGGGGAGTTACTCAATGTTTAAAAAGTAATAAATGGTCGTGTATAAACACAAAGGTAAGTTCATAAATGTAACATATTTGGTAGATTTTTTTTTTTTTGTTGCTGCAAAATGTGAATTTCTCAGCTATCGCTTTGATAAAAAAATTTAAAAATGTACAAAGAATGACTAAGATTTTCACATTTAAAGTAAAAAAAAAAAGTTAATTTGATCATTAAATTAACTATTTTTTTCCTTTTCTGCATTAATGAATGCAATTTCTTAGTCGTTAGTGACGTAAAAATGAAATTCAAATTAAGATTTCGGTGTTTACCGTTAGTGTTTAATTTTTTATTTCTTAAATTTTGTTTTGGTGTTTAGTGCTAATTCAGTTTGGCACTTTTTAAATTCAATATAAAACCCCTTCAAAAATACCTTTGTATAGTGCGACTCATTTTTTGCGTAAAAAATGATAATAAAAATTCACACTATACTCAAGTATATACGGTAAGTACAGTTTCAAACTTGACATAAAATGAAAACAAACGACAAGTAACACTTTTTATGCATCGACGTTTTCTTTTCTAAACAAATCAACAGCTCCTCCATGGACATAATCATCATTGATTTCGGGAATACTGAAAAAAGCCAATTGATTATTTATTCCGTCTTTATTCCTTATTGTATCTGAAAACTTGTTACAATTTAAATGATCGACATTTTATTAAAAACATTTCCTGCTCTTTTTTTAAGTTAATTTATTCGTGAAGATTTTGTAAAATTGAATCTGCGAAGCGCTATTAAAATAATAATCAGATGTACAAAATTTCTTTTACTTCTCCCTTGGTTGGAAATTATTGATAAAATGCAAAGAAGAATCTGCATTGTCAGAATTTTAACTTGGCACCCAATTTCAACTTTCTGTGGTGAGTTCTGTTTTATTCTATTTATAATTTACACATCTGACATACAAGGTTTACGACTATATCACGTTGAAGCATAGGTTCTTGCACGATCACCGAAGTTAAGCAACGTCGTGCCTGGTCAGTACCTAGATAGATGACTGCTTTGGAATATCAGGTGCTGTAACCTTTGATGTGCAAATGGATAAAGGCTGAGAATTGGAAATTGGAGAGCCAATGTTCCATACAGTCTCACATCGATACCGGCGCTATTACACTCCCCCCCCCACCTATGCAATGTTTTTTTTTTTTCCGGCGTCTATTTTATTTCTCTGATTACTTTTTCCTGTTCCTTATTTCCTGTGCATCATGTTCAGAACATCAAACACGCATTTTTAAACTTTTTCCTGTTTTTCTTTATCACTCTGATGGTCGTTGATGAAAGATTCAACGCACACATCATGGCAGAACTTATTCCAGTTGACCAAAGTGTTTCGGCTGGAAATTTCTAAATCTTTTCTTAGTGTTTTCACAGCTGGTTCTCGGCCTTTTCCGAATGCTTATTGTTTTCCGACAAGCTTTACCTCTTTTCTACAACGACTGTTGCAAACAATGCAGCCCATAATGACTGCTGGAGGGGCCAAAAAGGGGGAATGGGGAAAAAAGGACGGTCTTCTTCTGTCTTAACGTTAAACCTAGCTAGCCACAAACACTGACACAAACATACAACAATATTCCTTACATCAAAACGCATTCTTACTACATCCACCATAATACCTCGTGGTCTTCATGAAAGTACGAACTAGTTCCCTTATATACAATTCATTGTCTATGGAGGGTGAGAGGAATAAAACCACAAATTTAAAAATCTAACCTCAATGAATATTTACAAAAATGAACAAAAACTATATACAAGAAACTAAACAAAATAGTGTTAGTAATAACCCACCACCACCACCACCACCAATACCACCACCACCAATACCACCACCACCAATCTCTAAACGTGGCAGAAACATCAGTTCACGGGACAAAATCAATACGAGACTCCCGCATCTACCAGAGAATTAACATCACTAACCACTTAACGCGGGAGGGATGGGAAATTAAACAAAAGAAAAGTAGGGACAGAAATAAAAATGAGCCAATAAGCATACATCGCCTACCTAAGTTAGCTGGGGGATGCGAAAGAATAATAACGCTCCGATGCCTAAAAAGAGTTACCTGTACTTTGTTTTCATTTTATGTCAAGTTTGAAACTGTACTTACCGTATATACTTGAGTATAGTGTGAGATTTTATTATCATTTTTACGCAAAAAAATGGGTCGCACTAAACAAAGGTTTTTTTTTTTTTTTTTGAAGGAGTTAAAAATTATGCATTTTCGGTGGCTGGTTGCACTATACACAAGTAATTTTTTTGGAGGGTTTAAAATTCATGCAAAAAAATTAGGGGGTCGCTCTATACATGAAATCGACTTGTACACAAGTATATGCGGTATGACATTAATAACTGCATGCTATTATGAATTAGGGGAAGAAGATCAGTAGTACGCAGTTATCAATGCTGTAAACTCAGTTTCAAACTTGACATTTGTAAATAAAAACAAAATACTAATACTAAGAAGTCGGATGGATTTGAAACTATGTTATAAACATGACCCTACCCCCACTCCTTGTAAAAATGATAAAAAGTCAATATTTTTAAATTCTGACAAATGACGTTGGTAGAGAAATTACTAATGAATGCTGGTATACTAAAATGCCTTCCTGTTTTTTTTATTTTTGTTTTTTTTATACAATGAAACCAATTTAAATAGGCCCAGAATTTTAATTTGCTTCCCTAGTTGTTCGATCTCATGGTAAGCATTGTGTTATGAATAATCAAGAGTAATCTCCCCTTGAATAAAGCTTTTTTAAAGCCTATAATTGCGTACTTTTGTCATTACACATTGTTTCCTCCACTCCCGAGAAATTGTTATAAGAAGTAATTATGAACTTTTTTTTTTTATTTTTGTTTTCAGTGAAGGCAAATACTGGAAACACACACGAAGTGCTGTTCAGCAAAAACTATTTCAAAGAAAATATATTGAAGGTTGGTTTTCAAAACACAAAGAAGTTACAGATGAACTGTTGGAACTGCTTGAGAAAAATAAAAATAATGAAGGGATAGTATGTGATATGAATACCATTTTGGAAAGATATACCCTTGAAGGTAATTTGAAAAATATAACTAACACGATATATTCTTTCACCTTTTCTTAATAATTGTTTAAGCAATTTACATTAAGCATTATTAAATGTCTTTTTCCAGGCCTTGATCTTTATAAGTTTTTTTTTTTTTTATTCAGACATATACATCTTTTCTTTCTTTTTATGTGCCATGTCCTTTCAGGACGTAGGTGATCATGGCTCTCCACCTCCCTTTATCCCTTGCACTTCCCAACAAGTTCCTTTCCTCTGCTTCCTCCCCCGGACCACGTTCTGTCATCCACTTGCTTAAGCCCGCCAGGTATGTCACGCGTTGTTTTCACTTGTCTCTCTTTCCCTCTATTCGACGTGTGAGTATCAGATTCTCCAGGTCCTGCTTCCTCATTATGTGCCCCAGAAACTTCAGATGCCTCTTCCTAACGTTAAGTATAAGCCGCCTCCTTGTTTGCAAACTCTCTAAGATCGGATCATTGCTCACACACTCGGTCCATGATATCTTTAGTAAGCTTCTGTAGAACCACATCTCTGTCGCCTCGAGTCTCTTCTTCATCTTTAAGGAAATCGACTAACATTCGTCGCCGTAAAGAAGGACAGATGTCATGTAACTGTTCAGTGTTCTTTTCTTTGTCACCAAAGAAATCCTCCTGTCTCGCAATACTCTGCTCAACTTTTGGAATGAGTCCTAGGATTGACCTGTCGCCTCCTAGTGATTGAAATCGGCATTAATGGATTAAACTTTCTAATTCTCTTTTGGGTATCTAATCAAGTTCATGGATTAACCAAAAAATTCCATTTGAATATCAAAAAATTATTTTTGTAATTTTGAAGAAAAAAAGATCATTTTTTTCCAACATCTTATTCTTTCACCATTCTTTTTTATTGAAAAAACCTTCATTATCATAATTTCAACCCAAACCTGCTCTGTAAATCTCAGCTCTCAATATGCCGCGCCATTTATACTCTGACGTAATATATGACGACATCATCGCAAATAATGCAGGAACTCACACAAACAGTGAGACGTAGAGAGATGATATTTATGCGGTTCGGTTTGAACGTGTTGAATGCTAAAGAGTTAAATATAGGGATTTTGGCAGATAATTTGATCTTTTTTTTTCTTCTTTTTATTGGTTCTTCATAAAAATCGAATCTGCATTTCATATTTATGCATGTAACATTCTGCATGTAACACTAAAATTTTGATTCAGTAAAATAATTTGAAATGATCAGGGCTGTGAAGTCGGAAGCAATTAAGGGGTCACTAGAGTCGGAATTGGTAGAACTATACCAATTCCAGTTGAATTTACACTTTATGATAAAAAAAAGTCTTACATTATAGAATCTTTATTTTTATTGTTGTTTCTTCTACTGTTTATTTACTACTAGCAGTAGAGCCCGGCGTTGCCCGGGGATGTAACAGTAAGAGAAAGATCAAGTATCGACCATCATAAAGACTGAAAAATTAAATTGACAAAGATTATTGTTTAGAGGTTGACGGACACGCATGTCTTAATTAGTTTTTTTTGTTTTTTTTTTGTTTATTGGTCAAACCCAAACTCAAACAAAAAACATTGTTTTCAATCGTTATGAGTCTACCGATTGAATAGAATTTTATTATAAACAATTGTCTTGTAAATGGAATTTTTAAAGCATTCTGAATGTAAAAATAAAGAAAAAAAAAATTATTTTTCATAACAAGAAACACTACCTGCCAAAAAAAAAATTCGTTTTGTTGAAATCAGTTGAAAAATGTAGGAAATCTGATCCCATATATAAACGAACACGCACACAAACAAACTGGGGTTTATAATAAGTATAACTCGATATGAGTTGTCCCCCTTTCATTCTCGCGACAGCCTCTTAATTGTGTTTTCAAATTGATTTCGTGCAAAAACAATTGTGTTTTTCCAATTTTTGGCGCTGTCAGAACCACCGCAAGGTAATTTTATGTAGTCCTGTGAAGTTTTGTTGAAATCGGTTGAAAAATGTAAAACCCGATCCAATATATAAACGAACACAATGTCAAAACATACACACACACAACCTGGGTTTTATAATAAGTATGATTTCCTTTAAAGAAATTCCTCTCGACTTCTTTTTAAAGTATTTTTTGTAGTTATTTTGCATTTGCAAAACTATATAGTTAAAAAAATCTTACATTATAGAATTTTTATTTTTATGACTTTTACATCCTGTAAAAGATTATATTTCAACATCTGTTATAAAATAGTTTTATTTTTGTTCTGTACTTATTTCTTATTTGCAAAAATACATATATATAAAAAGTCTTACATTATAGTATTTTTATTTTTATTGTTATTTCTTCTATATCCTTTCAAATATATTCGGTCTAATTCAGTTAGAAAATATTGAAGAATAAGTATGATATAAAAGCCACAATATCTTTATTCTTTGATATAAACCAGTTATAAGGATATAGGCCTACTCAAGTGAGGTTTTATGAGATTTGTAGGTGATATGTTCCGGAAAGGGATATATTTATTCGAAGTAGCAAAGTGGTTGTTGACTACTGTAACCGAGTAGGACAATCTAGCAGGTAACCGTAATGGACTGGTCCTCGTCGTAGTGGTAAGCAATAGGCGTAGGCAATAGGTGAAGACTATAAGCGTAGCCAATAGGCGTCGTCCCTGTACCTCCACATCGGTCTGTATTTATGGCTGACACCAGCCAATCATATTACTGTGAGGGGGGAACCCAGGTGTATGCATATTCATTACATCAGTAGGCTATAATCACTTTATTACATAAAGAAGAGTCGGAGTCGAGGGTTTTGTGTTCCGACTCCACAGCTCTGGAAATAATGTTAAAATTATCATCCTTGTTCTTCAATCGATTCGTTTGGTGTCATTTGTGTAAAATCAAATATTTCAGGATGTGGGTGATCATGGCTCTCCACAACATCCTATCCTTTGTAGTTCTTAGTAACATCTTTTTACCATCCCTCCCAATCCTGTTCTTCCATCCATTCATAAAAGGTCGTCAGATAGGTAACCGACTGCCTCTCTCTGTCCTTTTTGCCTTTTGTCAAATTCTCTAGACCCTCCTTTAAGAAATATCAACAATGACTTTCTTATTTAAAGTGCCCTTTTTGTTTCCATTTGCCTTAAAACTTCTTCGTTGCTTACATCTTCCAGTCATAATATTCTCAGCATCCTTCTGTAGAGCCACAATTAAAAAAATCTATTGAGAGACATTTTCTTATCTATCAATGCTTAATTCACGTTAGATTAAATTCATTTATGAATGTAATTCTTTTTCAGTTATAACTTCGGCTTGCTTTAAAGAGAGATTGGATGCAAAGTGGACAAATTTAAGTGACAATCAGATCGGAACTCATTATCTCAGCACTTTAAAACTCGTCAATCAACTTCTCATTGAGAGTTTATTTTCCTTTCCATTGTATAAATTTATTGATACACCTTTCTTCAAACATTATTCCAAGATTAACTTTCAACTTGATAAGTAAGTAATACTTCTTTTATTGTCCAAGTTTATTTTCCTTTTCATTATTATATAGAATTATTTCAGCTAAAATTTGTCTCATTCTGAAGTTGCATCTGAATGTTTGTATACATTTAGAAAAGTACTAGTAAATTTTAATTATTGTTTATAATCACAACTTTCGACGATTTTTCTCGATCGATCATCTCTGAATGATACAGCATGTCGGACCAAATGACGGTTTCCGTATAGGAATACAGGTTCGATTCATGTCGGAGAATGCATATTTTCTACAAAATTTCTCGAACATTCAGAACGGTAAATGAAATTAATACTGTTTAATTTAACTTAATTAAAAAAAATACAGAGCTTTTACTTTAATAAATTGTATCTGTAAAATTAACGTATAAACAGAAAATATATTAAATAATTGTCGGACTTAATCCATTTCATATATATATATATATATATATATATATATATATATATATATATATATATATATATTCTGTTTTTTTCAAAAGTAAAGCATTTTCATCAAAACTTACCTAACATCACTTGATAATGGAACAAATTTAAAGTTCCGAAACATAGATATTTTCGTTGCCACGATGTAAAATATTTTCTAAATAAAAATATTATTAAAATATTAAATTCTAGGTTGTATCGAGCACTTTTTAAAAAAGTAAATGCTAAAAAAATGTGAATTTTAATCTGGCTGTTCTTTCTCATTATTTTCTTATATATATATATATATATATATATATATATATATATATATATATATATATATATATATAATATAATTTTACAGTTTAAATGACTAAATGTAGTTCTATGCTAATCGTTTTTTTTTTTCTTGCGCTTCTCAAAAGAGGAACTCTCTTCTTGCTTTCCATTTAACTTCGATCTTCAAAAATTTAAATTCAATATCAATCATTATCTTCTGTCTTAAATTAAGTCATTTTATTGTTCTCTAACATATCGTTCTAAAATTTGTTTAAAAATATTATTTTATAAATCTAATGCAAAAACATTTGCTGATAATGTTTTGAAATGTAATGTTTTTCTAAAAGCTGAATTGCTTTTCTATTCTTATACAGGTATATAATAACCAAAATGGAAAAAGAAATCGCCGACTACAGCAGCAAAAACAACAAAGCCTTGCATTTGCCTGAAAATCACAACGAAAGCTTGATTTTTCAACTGCTTACAGATAATAAACTCCATAAACAAGAGATTTTGACAATTGTTAAAGACATAATCTCTTCTTCAGTATTTACAGTAAGGAAACATTCTAATTTTGTAATTAGCAATACGAGATTTTTTTTAAGAAAATTTAAACTCTCGCTATAAAATCTAATCTTCCTCTTCTATGTGCCATGTCCCGTCAGGTTGTTGACAATCATGTCTCTCTACAATTTCCTGTCCTTTGTAGCTCTTAAAAAATGTTATCTCTTTGTTATCTCTCCTGTTCTGCCATCCATTTATTCAAGCTTGTTATGTTGCTTATGTGCCATTTTTCTCTGTCCCTCTTGCCTTTTAAAAGTCCTGTGAGTGTCACATTTTCCAGACCTACTTTCCTCATTATGTGACCTAGAAATCTCAAGTCTCTAATGTTAAGTATAAGAGTCCTTTTGTTTCTATTTTCTCTAAAACTTTATCATTGATCACATGTTCAGCCCATGGTATTCTCATCATCCTTCTATAGAGCTACATTTTTGTTAATTCAAGTCTCTTCATCTGTGAGAAAATTGTCCAGTATTCACTGGTATATAGAAGTGACTGAAGAAACTAATGGCAAAAATACATAATGTATGATTTTTATAAAACAGTGACAATGCAATTTTTGAATGTATAGCGCCACTAAAATGAAGAAACAAAAAAATATTTCCCTCTTGCAAATAGTTTAGAAAGATTGACCATATTTCTCACTATCGAACGTGTGCCAGCAGATAACAGACCTTCAAGGAGGAAGTAGTTTGTCAAAAGGGTTTAGGTTTTATTTTTTTATTTTTACAATGATGTTCATCCTTAACAGGGCCCAAGAGTTACTAAAAGTAGACTGTTACAGAGTAAGAGTATCATTTTATGGGGACATGTAGGGAAGATAGCAATTGACTCTAGACTTGAACACGTTAAGATTGTAATGATTGGGAAAGCATCCTCTCAGAATCAGTTCCACAAAGCAGCAATTTGTGGAAAGAAGGGACTGAGGGTGGTTCACTAAAATGGGCGTGGCATAACACGTTTTAGCCCTGGTGGCACTAAGGAATGTAGTTCATCTGAACACTTTCCATGAAAATAGCGATAAGGCAGCGAGAGACTTGTGATGTTTCCACTGTGGGAAAGTGATTGCAAAATGGAAAATAATTCATCACCCACAAGAACGCGGAGACGCTTTTGGACTCTATTGAGACTAGAAAGTGAAGAATGGACAACTCTTGCCTCAGTGGCAGCAGTACTCAATTTTCGGCCTGATCTGGCTCTTGTAAAAGCAGAGGATAACAGGAGGAGTCAGGTACTTACTGGCGCGGTACAGGGAACCGATCATTTTCCCAGTATCTTTATCACTGGTTTGTATGTATGAATTATACTTGAGGCGTGGGTTGAGTTTAAGTCCCAACAGGCGCCCAAAGCATAGGGCCTTCTGAGAGAACACACATTCATCGTGATAGATGAGAATTCAGGATTAGTAATCTAATACCAGTAACCTTTACTTCAAGGTCTATCCAAGCCGAACAGGTAGGGTGATTTTTTTTCTGAGAAGTATTTTCTTATATGGTAAGATATGCAATAATCAAACTAAAGGCAAATTATTAAATGAAAAGAATTGTATGAAAATTAAACTAAGCAGTTTTTAAATACATTTAGAATAAGTTTTTTTTTTGTTTTTTTTTTAATCAATCAAAACTCTAACATGCCCCAAATTATTAATTTTTCAGCTCCGAAGTTTACTTGCTTTTCTGCTGTACGCTTTAACCCAGAACACGGACATTCAAAATACGATTAGAAAAGAGATTCATGATGTTTTGAAAAAAAACAATGGACAACAATTATCACTGAACACATTTGACAACATGCCTTATCTGAAAGCATTTGTAAAAGAAACTTTAAGGTAAGTTAAGAGCTTTCGGTACTATTACACTTTCGCACCCCTCCCCAGCCTTTTTTGTAATATTTCGCCGCGATGTAATTTTTTCCCCCAAGAAATAATTTTTTCCTATTCGCTATCCTTTTTGCACTGCTTACATTCATCACTTAACGTATTTTACTGTTCATTTCAAACCAAGTATTATGGCTGATGTTCAACGCGTTCCCAATCAACAGGTTTTTGAAGACATCACCATTTTGAAGATTGGAGTACAGTTTTACAACGATATTGATAATTGCATTGACTGGAGACGTAACTATGGTTTGCTAGCAGCCAGTATGGACTGCATTGTTTGCAACAGCCGATGTCGAGAACAAACCTATTTGCGGTCAGTGGACAACAGGACTTGGAGGTGTGAACGTAAATCTTAGGGGGCGCGAAAAGTGTAATGGCGCCTAGCTTTCTAACTTTTATTTATTTACATTCTGTCACACCAATACTCCCACATAGATTCATTTCTCTACAAAACTCTGTCAAATTTCTCATGGAACAATAACATCTGGAGTCATAATTTCAGAATAAATTTTGTTGCTTTCTTATGCAATTGCTTAAATTTTAATTTCATTTAGTTACCTCCCTTGAAAATGACGTTGCATTGATCAGCAAAAGTGATTTTATTATAGGTTAGAGAGAATAAAATCATCCTGGCGTATTAACGTTTAAAACCATTCCAAGGACAGCCATTACTATGAGTGAGAATTTAGTTAAAAATTGTGTCAGAAATTGTGGATCTTTAGGTATACAGTCGGGTGAACAGTTGGTAAATTAGAGTTAAATTATTAATTACAGAAATTACCATCTATAAAATTATGGCTGCTAACTTTTGTTTAATTATTTTTACTTCTGTTGGTCAGCTCAAATGAAATCCATAGCTGATCAATGGATAATCTATGTACAGGCATAAAAGAATATATGCAATAAGATGTTATTATAACTTTGACAATGCACAATTATTTGAAAATTACAAATTCTTGTTAGCAGCTAAAATTTTCTTTTCCCAAAAATTTCTATTTTCATTTTTTGGCTTCATAGTGTAATACCTTCATTCATATACTTTTTAATCATGTAAAAAAAAAATTACATTATAGAATTTTTATTTTTGTTGTCTTTTACATCCTGTAAAAGATTATATTTCAAATTCTGTTATAAAGTAGCTTTATTTTTGTTCTGTATTTATTTCTTATTTGCAAAGATATATATATATGTAAAAAGTCTTACATTATAGTGTAATCGCTCTATTTTCATGTAGTCGATTTTGTGCACTTTTTGAAGAAACGGATCTCAGAAGTTTTCTTAAGTCTCCCCAAAACTCGCTCGCTGATTGGTCAATGCCAACTAATCAGATCGTCTGTACGTGAAGAATAACTCTTCCCGCGCAGCGATTTAGAGCCTATAGTCACTTATATAAGCAAGAATTTTTCTTAGCTAATTAGTGAGAATTCATCTGCCAAACGAATCCACGACAGTTGAAACCATGCGCCAACCTTCTCACTCACACCACCACTCACATGCTGAACATTCCTTATATACTCACATAATCTTTCCTTACAGAGCAAATCTTCTGAGAACAATTATTACAAGAAACTCTCATTAACTTTCTATCAGTGAACTTTGAAATACAAAGATAATAGTTAAAGAGAGACAACTCTTGTTTTATTCAACCTTTTCTTACTTAAATGCGTGCTTTCTTTCACATCGTTGTTTGATATTGTACATCTTGTTAAATACATATTTTATGTGTAACGATGTCTTTTGCTTATCCTTTTCCACGTCAGTTTTGTTTCCTAATCTAAAGTTAAATTAATGCTGTGAAGTCCGACAAAACGGCATTTTTATTTTTATTGTTATTTCTTCTACATCCTTTCAAAGATTTTGTCTCTAATTCTGTTCGAAAATATTGAAGAATGAATAGGTATGGTATAAAAGCCACAATATCTTTATTCTTTGATATAAACCAGTTATAATGATATAAGCCTACCCAAGTTAGGAGCGTATGCATAGTCCACAATAAGTTAAGTGTCATACGTGATACACGCTTGGGTGACCATGTCTCTTTCGATTCATGAGAATCTTATCTTACACGTTTATGATTAACTTCTGTTAAATGTAACTTGAAAGATTATAGTATTTCTGGACAAGTTTATGATTTAATTTTAATCTTTCTTATCAAATTGTGAAATGAAAGTTATCTTGAATGGCCACTCTTCTAGATCTTTTTACATTAATGCAGGGTATCCCTTGAACCTACATTGCTCCTAATTTTCATAAACGACCTTTGTTGGAAAATTTCTGTAGTTCTTGTCATCTTGGAACTCAGGTGAAGCATCTGGTCCCTCTAACTGCAGGCCTATTAGATTTCTAACTCTTTTTGGCAAAGCTTGAGAGATCCTAATCAACTCTGAATTAGTTAAGCATCTCACCTCTAATGTTTCCATCAGTGATGAAAGGGCTATAAATGCTTGCTAGAGACAATCCCAGTCAGACATTAACCATTTGGGCTTCAGTGACATTTATTCTTTCTCTGACTGGTTCCTGCTCAAAAACGTTTTTCTGATTGTTTGACTTATTAATAAGAAAAAATGTTCGTTTTTTTTTCTCATTTTTGTTTTACTTCTATTTTTCATTTCAAATATGGTAATTTTTTTATTTCCATATTTAAATCCGCCATCTTAATTCCAAAAATTTATTTCCTTCTAGTCATCATATCAATCAGTTAAATTTTAAAAGATCTGAAAATAAAGAATTCTCCTTATTTTGACTTTGTAGGTGTTATCCTGTAACACCAGGCAACGTACGACAGTTGGACAAAGATCTACACTTAAAAGAATATGTACTAACCAAAGGCGTAAGTATGTTATAATTTATCAATCAGCATTTCTTGAGAGTTAATTGATAAGTAAGGTCCTCGATCCTATAAACCAAGTTTTACACCAAATAGATTAATGAAACTGATTGAATTAAATCTGTTTTCAAAATTCCTAGGGTTGATTGTTAAGTAAGGTCCCCCAAACCTAAAACAAATTTTTAGATCGGATAGAATAATGAAACTAATGTCAAAATAGTATTTTCTTTTCAAAATTACAAATTTATTTTTAAAATATTGAAATATGAATCACAAATAAATTACATTAAAACTCAGCAACCATTACCTCTGCTTACAGAGGACGGGTTGCTTGTGTTTAATATATAGGGTGTCAAGCACTTTCAAATTGTATTCGGAATGGACCCAGCTGGTAACTGAGAAAAAAAATCTCTGGCAATCGACAAGATACAAAAAAAAAACAAATTCTCAAGTGTACATCATCTTCATCATATCCATGTTTTATTGTGTGTTTTTTTTTCGGCTGGGCAGGGATTAATCTCACACAATGCAAGGTGGGTACTGCCAGACAGAGGATCTGTTTGCCTCTCCACATACACTCTAACAACATACAGAGAATTGTCATAATAATTTAAGGCAAGGTTGAATGCTCTCCCTGGCACCCGACTCAGACACTCATGGCAATTCAGGTACGCAGTGTTTTTATCAACACAGCATCTCTAGGAAGCTTACCATTGAAGGCCTGTGACCTCATATTAGCTTTATATTTATTTATATATATGCATGTATCCACTAAGAAAAAATTTGCACCAATAATAAATGCATATAAAAAAGAAAAATTCGAGAAATATAAGCAATGAAGAGTAGACAGGTCTGCATCCGAAACCTTAATTGTATTAATTATATATATATATACATATATATATATATATATATATATATATATATATATATATATATATATATTCGAGGATACCCATCTACTAGGGCGGCTAGCCAATTCCAGTCCCTGTTGCAGACACTTGCTCGGGCGCATTGTGATTTATATTGCAACTATGCTGAGAAGATCTTAGTTACAGTTTCTAGGAAAGACCGTGTTATCAACAATTTGAACAAGGTCAGCACGCTCAAGCTCTTGGCCTCGATGACTTATGACTTCGTGCTATATATATATATATATATATATATATATATATATATATATATATATATATAAATATTATTAAAAGACGTCTTTTGTCAATTAATTTATTGATTGCTTTTCCAAAATTATGCATAATCCTTCTCAGAATTCATTTTGGGAGAAATATGGTCCAAGCTCATCATCAGGATAGGTAGTGGGTTTCATAGAACTAGGGAGTGTAGTTACGTGGGCAGTGTTATGACATAGGTGAAGTGTGACATGTGTGGGTGTTATTATATATATATATATAGTTTATTTAGGCAGGAATCCTTTGTTTCTACATGTTTCATTAAAGACGACAGACAAGGGACTATGATTACATTTTTTTCTTTTTATTTCATTATTCTTGTGTTTCGAACAAATGTTTTCTTTTCTGGACACAGTGTGTAGAAACTGTCCAAATGTTCTATAATTCCAAGCATTTTATTTTTGGATGATTTTATTTTTGCGTTTTAATTGGGTGTATGGGTTGTAGGGATGTTTTATTTTCCGAACACAGTATGTTTCGGATATAGTCTGGTAGGTTTGTGTGTTTAAATGGATTCTAATAAAGATGGGGTCAGATAGGTGTAACGTAAGGCGTCTGGATAGGCATGTAGTAGTGTGACCGATGTAATTATTTATGAATTCAGTTTGATCAGGAACACAGTTCCTTAAGGGGCATTTGAACTCATAGATAATGTTTATTTGTTGTAATTTTGATTTTGCTGGTGTGATGTTATTTTTGAGGATAAGGGTAGGTGTTTTAAATTTTTTGTAGGAGATAATTAAATATTTTAAAAATAAAATTAAAAGTATAGCCAAAAGCGCTCGGAATTACAGAACATTTAGACAGTTTCTACACACTCTGTGTCGAGAAAAGAAAACACTTGTTCGAACACAAGAAAAATTAAATAAAAAGCTTAATCGTAGTAACTTCTCTGTCGTTTTTAATGAAACATATATATAGTCATCCGAAGACAGACTGTTTTTTTCTGTATCACAGCTCCCCAGTGTGGCTAGATGTCCGTTTGCTTCATGTTGAAATCCATTCATAAAGATTCCCCATCCCATTATGTTAGTTTGGTGATATGTCATTTTAAATGTCAGTGCAGTGCTGAATACATTTAGCAGAACTAATCAGAGCTTGGAGGTGAGAATTGATCAACACATTTTAGCAAAGATCTGTAGACGGCAGTATAGGAATTTGCATATGCTTGTCAATGGTTCCGAGTCTGTGATTGCCGGATAACTAATAAGTAATTCAATTTGTGTCTTGTCTTTCACCAGATGTTTTTCTCAGTTACCAGCATGACCTATTGCAACTACCATTTGAGAGACGTTGTATACTAAATCCGAGCAACCTTCCATCTGCATGCAGAACGAATAACTGCTAGTCTTGCGATTCATATTTCAGTATTTTAAAAGTCCACCAAAAAACAAAAAAAAACGTTTACTTTGACTTTGGTATTGAATGAAAGGCAAACATGGACTTATGTGCCCGCAATAAAACGCAGTGTCAAAATAATGGTTTTTCTCATTCCTTCTTTAACTACTTTCACTCTATGGCAATGTTTATCATTTTTAAAAAAGCGATAATTTGAATTGGAATAAAACCTAAATATATAAACGTTGATTTATACATTTTCTTTGTTCTTGAGAATTGATAACAAAAATAATAAATACTATTTATTAGATTCTTTATTACACTATTTATTTATTGTATTATTTATTGAAATGCGTGGCAAAACATTGGCTAATTGCCAATCGATCTGAACTTTATAAAATTGTAAATAATAAGAATTTCCCCATAGTTGCTTCATATATTTTAATAATTTAGTAAATGTTTATAAATTTATGAATAAAAAAAACCCAATAGAATCTCTGATATGTGTTTTTTGTCTTTCCAAAAACGGAATAGTTTATTATTTATAAAGTATTGGTAAGGTGTAACAGTTGTGCTTATGGAAGGGCAAGCAGAATTATAATAAGATTCTCGACTTTAAAGCATTTAAGACTAAAACAATGAAAGGTTCTGTTATCTGTCAATTGGTATTAAGCTTGAAGTTACAATAAAACCATAGAATTGCTTACATGATGACTTTAATCAAAATAGATTCTCTCTATTTCTTATAGACTTATGTTAAAATGCATCATATATATCCAGCAATGAGTAAAGACAACTTTGAAAATCCCACTGAATTCTGCCCTGGAAGATGGTTGAGGACTAAAAATAAAATGAATTCTGCTCACCCATTTGCTGTTACCCAATTTGGTTTTGGGCCACGAAGTTGCCTTGGTAAACGGATGGCTTTAACTGAAGCCTACTTATTTGTAATGAAAGTGAGTATAATCTTTATAATCTTTATATATGAGAACGCAATGTGACTTTTATATTTGTTGGCTGTATTAATTGATAATTAGATTTTTTGCTTTGCTAATATAAGTCATTACCCAACACCACTCAAAGTGAACTTGCTTCATGTTACCATCACAATGAAATATTTAATTACTAATTATTGAGACCAGGTTGCTACTACATTGATTTTTGCTTCTTTTGCATTGTGGTAGCTTTCTTTAGATGTTTTTATTTTTAATTTTAAAAAGCAGAATTCTCTCTTTATGACCACTCCTTCTCAACAGGAAGTTTTAGTCATGAAAAACAAATTAGAATTTCTGATTCAATTACTTGGTATTAAATGAAACTTTAATGTTATAAAATAACATGTGGCAATAGAGTAAATAATTATATTTATAAAATGCTATACATATCTCTTTTCTTTTTTGTTTTTTGTATATGTGAAACTCTTTTCTACAACAGATAATTTAATCTTTATTTTTTTGATGACGTAGAAATCATAATTATTCAATAACAAACAGAATCTTAATTGTTTACTTCAATATTCAGGAAATATTAAACAAGAAAATAAAAGAAAAGTCTTTGATAATTTCTGAGAAGTTATTATTTACATGCGTACTTTTGTCTTCATCTTTTATTGTTGTTGCAGTTGTGGCAAAGTATATAAAAGTGAAACTAGGTACCAGCTAAAAGTAAAGCTGGAGAAACATCAAAAAGCTGTAATTAGAAGTGGGACAATGAAATCATGCATAGCTTATCATGTAGAGAAGGGGAAATTATAGTTATCAACATCTATGAGAAGTAAAAATACTAGACAAGGAGGAACATTGGAGATTCAGATGTCTGAAACATGCTATGCTATGAGGAGCCCTTAGAAGGCATAGCACAGAAATAAATATGATATAAATCATACATTAATAAAGAAAGAAAGAGAACTGACAGTAAGGCCACAACAGCAGCCATGGTAAAAAGAAACTTTGGTCAGTGCAATCAAGCATGGCAAGCAGCAGCAGCACTCATCAACAGGCAGGTTAGGTTTAAGACTCCAGGTTCTCCACTCAGAATAGCCTAGTGGATGAAAGCATTGGTTTGTAATTTGATGACATCGTAATTGTGAATTCAATCCCTGGACTCAGTGGAAATGGGCTGAGCAGTACTAAATAAGAACTAAATGAGAAATTCCTAGACATAGTCAGTGGAATGAGAATAGTCTAGATTAAATAAAAGATTCAGTTCAAAATTTCCTGGAGCTTACTTGGATTAATAAGCACCTGATGAAGGCCAGAAGGCGTAACAGTCAAAACATTGTGATAACAACAACAAAGATGAGGATAATAGTATGCATATAAACAATGTAAATAAAATTTTTGATATTTTATAATACATTGCAATTGGGGAATTATTTAAATATTGCTGTAATTTTTTTGAAAATTCATGTCAACTTTTAACAATATAATTCCGTTTTTTACTTTGACTTTACTCCATCTTTCTCATCCAATAAATTGCACTTGAATATTTGTTTTTTACCCAATTTATCCAGGTAGATTTCTCTAAATTTATCTGGCTGATAATAGAAACATTCACCATTTGTCTAAGAGGTGAAAGCTTGACACTAGAATAACACCAGCATGTTGTGATGTTTGTGAGTAAAGAAAGTTAGGGTCTTTTTTTTCTGCCGTTGTTATCATGCCATCTAATACTGCTTGCCAGATTGTCACTGTGAAAAAAAATGGGTAACAATCATGTAAACTTCTCCTTATTGCCTGAGGTACCATGAAAGGTGAAAGGTCAACTTGGCAATTCAATGCCATATTTATTTCTATTTCCAACCCAACATAAATCAGTCTTTATTTTTATGACTTTTCTGCCCTATTTCAGCAAAGATTTTCAATATTTCATCACAGCTTTTAATTTCATTCTCTCCACTTCCAGATTGTCCTTAAAGCCTCATTATATTTTTGTTACTTTTCAAGACAATTATTCAATTTCTTTTCTTTCCATTTTTCTCATCTTTCCTTAACACTTCATACAAGCAACTTCCTTACTATTACCAGATTTGCTTATGTATAATACTTCATGTTTCTGAAGGCTGCAAAATGTTTTGTTATTAACTAATAATTAATAAAAAAAATATACATATTATTTTTTAAAATACACCAGTTTTAAGCTATTACTTTAAATTTTCACACAATGCGTTATCTATGAAGCCCAGTGAAACAATAACCCTTCTTTTACCATCTTTAAATACAAATTGTGTAATTAATAATAAAATTGATAATATTGTTACCTCATTTTGTATCCTGAACAGCTTTTAAAAGAAACCCAACAAATTTATGGGCCATCTAATTATCCATTAAAATCTCCATGTCGTATCCATATAAATTATCAAAGAATATGAAAAGTACATAATTTATACAACAGTATGAACTTTGTTGTAACATTAATGTTATCAAGACAAGACAGATCTTGTCAATTCCCTTTATAAATTTTTTAAATCAATTTTGGTGAATTTCTTGACTTTGAGTCAAAAGACATTCAATTTAGCTGATTCCCAAATAACAAATATTGCCGACATATCAAATACCTTTTTTTTTCATTTTTAAATAGGTTGCTCAGCCTAAAATTATAGTTTTATTTACACAAAATATATTTATTCAGAGAAAAAATTCATTTATTCTCTCAAAATATTCCCTACGAGATTCTATACATTTATCCATCTCGGCAATAATATAGATTCCATTCTGAAAATTCTTCATTCAAATAACCAATCAATTCCTGAAATTTGGATTGATCCTAAATGGAGAAATTCTAATAGCAGAAAGGGATGATCTATAGGGACAAAACCAGGCAGATGGTCATCCAAAGGGAGGAGACTGGGTAAATGGCCATCTATATGGACAAGGTCATATGGGTGCCTGTCAAAAGGGACAAGTCTGGGTGAATAGGCTTCAATAATGTCTTCATCTTCAAGTTCAACTTTAGTAATTCATTTAGCAAAATCATCATTCAAGTTAATGACTCTTTCTATCCAAAATGTGTAGTATTTTAATTTTAAATGGCATGAAGGTCCACATAGAATTATGCACCTAAATTGTTTGCTAATTTGAAGGAAGTTGCTATGTACTAATCTCCTTGTGTTAATTAATATATATATATATATATATATATATATATATATATATATATATATAAAAAAGAAAGTATTGATATTTTTATTTTCACAAGACAGTGCTTTATGTAAACTTATATATATATATATATATATATATAGTGTATTTAGGCAGCAATCCTTCATTTCTACATGTTTCATTAAAGATGACAGACAAGGTACTATGATTAAGCTTTTTCTTCGTATTTCATTTTTCTTGTGTTCAAAAAAGTGTTTTCTTTTCTGGTCAGAGTGTGTAGAAACTGTCCAAATGTTCTATACTTCCAAGCACTTTCAGCTATACTTTTTTAGCCATTATCAAGGATGATTTTACTTTTGCATTTTAATTGGGGGTATGGGTTGTAGGGATGTTTTATTTTCCGAACACAGTATGTTTCGGATATAGTTTGGTAAGTTTGTGTGTTTAAATGGATTCTAATAGAGCTGGGGTCAGACAGGTGTAACGTATGGTGTCTGGATAGGCATAAATAACACCTGAATGTTTGAGAAACAAGAGAAATTTCAATTGATGTTTAAATTTCTTACTCTTCACCTGGTCCTTATAGAGATTTTCAGTTATAAAAAATCCTCTTCATCACACTTGAGGAGGAGACCTTATTAAAAGAAGGCAGATTGTAAAGGACAGGAAATCTGTTAGAATGATTAATGCTGGTCTTTATATAACTAATTCAAACAAATCCTATTTACCAAGCATGTTTTTTCTTAAATGATTTGAAATAATTCCAGTTGATAGCAGTTCTCTGATCTTTTTAACCCCCTCCCCCACATTCACACTACAACAGCCTCAAAAACTTTATCAGTGATTAAGAGCTTTGGTCAACCTATTTCCTGCTTTTTTTATAAACATTGTCCCAATGTGTATATTTTTATATTCTTAATAACATACTATCATAAACTATTCACTTCTTCACTTTTGCTGCTTACAATCCATACAATCACTCATTTGGTAACCCTTTACCTTGAATGGCTCTTGGGGCTTGTATTGGGTGAACATTTAGTTAAGAAAAATAACTTGAGATACATTAAAACTCAGTTCAAATTCATACAAGTATAAAATATAATGGTCATGAAAGGTGAAATTTTTAAAATGAATAATCAATCAATATTTTAAGATATCAAAATTTTTTTTAACTAAAAATGTCAAGTTTTAAAAAGAAAATTAGCAATTACATGTTGAATCACCCAATTTTTACTTATTGTTAAAAATCATATATTTTTCAGTTTTACTAATATTAACATTGTGTGTGTGTGTGTGTGTGTGTGTGTGTGTGTGTATATATATATATATATATAGGTAAAAAAAAAAATCTGTGGTTAAGTAATCCAAGTAGATCCTATTAATATAAAATATTAAAACTGATCCACAAAAGAGAGCTCAATATAATTTTTATTATAGAGCATATAAGTGAATTACAAATAATGAGATCCAAACAATTTACCTCATACAGATGATCATTTTGTCCATGGGAAAGTAGTTGTTCCTTGAACTTATCAATGCAAATACATTTAATAAATGTATTTGCATTGATAAGTCCAGAGAACTACTACTTTCCTACATGGACAAAATGATTATCTGTATGAGGTAAATTGTTTGGATCTCATTAATTATATAATTTTAGCAAAATAAATGAATTACATTACAATTCTAATTTGGAATATAACTTTTGTATTTTATTGTTTCAGATCCTGATCAACTATTCAATTGAATATCCGGATAATTCATTTAAAATAAGATCCCAGTTGCAGTATCATCCCCCAAATGACCTGAAATTTAAATTTACAAAACTTCCGTCTGATTTTTCACAATTAGATACCCCAGTGAAAATACAAAAATACTGATTAATGCAAACCAAGCAAGGTTAGACCAATTTTAACAAATTAAAGTTTTAACACATTTATTTGTTCTTACTAACTTCACACTGACAGCTTCAATTTGTTTATAAAATTTTAAACAAGAATTCTCACAATAATCAACCTGCACTAAAAAAAATAAATTTTAAGACATTTTATTCTCTCTCATACTAAAGATCATCCTGTCTTTTTTTTCTTTCCAGGATACAAATTGAATGTTTTGAACAAATTAACCACCTACTTACTGACACTGGAATGATGATTGGAACATGTTGGCACCTACAAACATTAAAAACAAAAGCCTAGTTATGGTTGTGTTTGTGTGTGTGTGTGAGAATAACAGCCATTGTGCAACCATGATGAGAGTTAAGATGATGTTGAACAAGATATTTGGAGAGAAACATTGAAAATAGAAAATATATATCATTTCACTCATGTTTCTAAAAATTCTTCCATTGATATAACTTCTTTGCAACTGAGAATCAAAGTCATTGATTGCATTTTCAGAGTTGAAAATGCTTTCTTGATTATTCGACCTCCAACGACAAAGAAAATTTCAACTTTGTCCTCTTATCTGTTTGCATGTTGAAAGCAGACAGCAGGTTTTCTTTTCAAAAGCTTTTTATCTAATTACTGTCAAGACTTAATTTAGCTAAGAGTTGGAGAAGTTCTAAACAATTTTTCTTCATTCTTCTGTAGTAACTTTATTTTTCTTGAATTTACGAAAAAATGGTGTACCTGTTACAATATTTGAATTTTCTCCACATTGTAATTTTCAATTATGTATTTTTTTATTATTTTTGGTGGAGAGGGGATTTAAAATATGCACAAATTGTTCGAGTAATTGTGCAGACAAATCTGAACTTAGATTTGTTTTGTTTGCCAACAATATGCTTGCAACATTTCTCTAAATCTTTTTGCCAGTTTCTTCTTCAACTGATCATAATCATTCTTTCAGAATGGAATTATTTTTTACAAATCTCCCCTCCCCAAATTATTGACCAAATGAAATTGTTAACCATGTGATTTTTACAGAAGTCTATTTTGAGAACATGTTTGTTATATAATGGAGATTTCTTTAACCTTTATAAAATATTGCCTTATTTTAATCAATATTGCTCAGGCCATGTTACGAATAAATTTTGATATTTATTGTTCAGTTGTTGTTTTTATTTATCTTTGAATTGACAAATCAATTTGCCTTGATATTTGTCAATAGTCCACAGCATGCGCATTATATGTAAATGTTATTTACTTTAACAATGAATCATTGATGTTAACACTTGGATGCAATTGTACAATAGGCACTCTAACCAGAAATAATATTTCCACAATTTTTTTTTTTTTTTTTTCATTAAGCAGAGATTAAACTTTTTTTTTCTTTTACAAATGTTATCAGAGCAGGGGGTCCAGTTTGCTATACAAGTTTCCTATAGAAACCAAAACAAAATATGTTCATACCAGATGATTCCTTTGATTTTTAAAAACAGTTTTTCTCATATAATACTATTAAGTACTCCAGATTACAATATCCATCCCCCCTCCCAATTTTATTTTGTTTAAATTTTAAGAAATCACATATTTTGTTTGTTTCTGTAGGAGGGATTAATTTACATAGCAAACTGCTCGCAACCATTAACTTTAATAAAATTAAAGAAAAAAAAGTTTTTTTTTTTTTTTTTGTTTTAATCTATAGTAATGAAAAAAAAAAAAAAAAAAAAAAACATTTTCTGGTCACAGTGCCTATTGTACAACTCCAAAAGTTGATTTAAAAAAAAAAAAAAAACTTACTAATATATCTAAAACCTCTGAACGGAGATGTTTTGAAACGTTTCAGTTTGGTTTTAATGGATGCCCAGAAATAAGCTTCAATAAAAGCATGAGAAAATTGTTAGATAAATTTCAATGGCCTAATTCCCAACAGCAAAAGGCATGTTTTACATTGAGAAAGTTCAGTGAACAAAAATAAAAACATGCAATTTAAGAAACTAAGTAAATACAATGTTTATTAATTTAGAAAAGTAAATATAAAATATTCTAGGACAATTTGTGAAATGTAACCGAGAGAAAATAAGTATTTTTGCTGAAATAGCAAAACAGTTTAACTTTTTTAAAAGCAAATTCACTCCAAGCGACAGCAACCGGATATTTATAGTCTTAATATCATATTTGAACATAGAAATCCATACAATTGCAGAAAGTTCTTGCTTATATTTTAGTGATTGAAATTCTGAATAAGTTTTAAAGCAAAATGTAAACATTCACTACTTGATCAATATATTACTCTTCATTTAACCAACAGATATTTGTTTAAATTTGCATTTACAGAAGACAATTCTTAAAGAGCTTTAAAAGAGAAATGTCAACAGAATTACAGGTTCTATTGTAAACTTCAATCTAATTCCTTTATATAAGGGATACTTACAATGAAATAAAACTCTTAAAAAAAAAAAAAAAAAAAAAAAATAAAATAAAATAAGACTCAAATCAGTTTTAATATAGGGAACTATAGACATTTATCTACAGTAATTTTCATTTTTAGGATAAATTTCCTATAAAAAAGAAAAAAATTAGATGTACAAGACAATTCTGTTCATGTAGTGCATTTACAAATGAAAATTATTCAAACTAAAATAGAATTCAATTTCTCTCTTTACTTTCCTTATCAGTTAATTTATTCAGCAATTAAAGAACCTTTAATTCTTAAATTCTCACTAAAGTAATTGGTAGTTGTTTCCATTGTTATTCTCAACACCAATAGTAACATTAGAGTTTGTCTTATCAGGTCATTCAACAATACGGAATTTGTCAAAGTGGCTGCCAAATATATTTGTTGTTTTTTCCAGATTCAAGTTTCTACCTATAAAGTTATATTTTGGTAACATTAGCTTCCAGTCCAGTAATGCCAAACTAATCAGCTTCAATGATTCCATACAGGTCTTATGTTCAATTTCTTTTAAAATGATAACTATAAAAAGTTCTTTCTCTAGTGATGTCATTTTAATATTTGGTAATAAAAATTACAGGTAATGTTCCCATATTTATAAACTGTCTTTGCTAGTTTTGAAAGCTGACATATTTCTTATATATATGAATTAGGATAAAAATGACAAATCAAATATGGATTGAAATCCGACAATGATAGAATTATAAACATTACCTATTTGTTCTTTATCCTAAAATGTTTCACTTTTATTAAAACTTCATCAGAGAATGAGATATGGAGAAAGGAATTCTAGTATTTTTATTTTTGTGTTGTTTGATTTTCATTTGTTAAGCAGCATTAGTATAAGTTATGACAATTTAAACTCAAGGAGAGATGGCAAGTCCTTTCACTGCTTAACAAGTCAAATACATGTGAAGCCTGCTTAACCAATGAAAAACAAACAACATAAAAATAAAAATAACAGGATTTCTTTCTCCAGATCTCATTCTCTGATGAAGCTTTAATAAAAGTGGAACATGTCAGATTTATGAATGGTTTCTATTTGTTCGTTATGTTATATACACTCACATAACTTTGTATAGTTATATTTTTATAAAGCTCTTGTAAGCATAATGCAATTGTTCTCTATAAATGTGCACTAAATGTATATTAAAATGTATTTTATATGTATAAGTTACTAATTTTATCTGCTTAAACATGCTTTTGGAAAAAAATTTGCATAAATTTATAGCACAGCAGTAGATTATTTGATGCTTTGTGAAATCATATTTATTTCAAACTAGATTTCATTCTTAAATTATCACCAAGTTCTCAAAGTCTCTCAAAAGTAGTATATTAAAACTAGAACATTCTTAGAAAATACATTTCAAATGGCAGGTTGAAGAAAATGGTTACCATGTATCTAATGTGGTGTTTCTCAACCTTTTTAAGCAGTGGCACACCTAGAAGCAAATGAAAATATCACAGCACATTTAGCAAAATTTTTAAAGGGTATACATTTAAATGTTATGAAATAAAACCATAAGTTTTTTTGTTTTTTTTTTAAATACACACACAAATATGAACTTACTTTATTTCAATGTTTCTATTCAAACTATTTGTGCAGCCTATTTAGTGTGAAATCTGTGCTTGGTGTTTTTTTGCAATTCCTTCCGTGTTTGGTTGAATGTGCAATAAGCAGACCCTCATTTCTTCTTCAGTTGACAATATTTCACAGTACACTAGTGTAACATGACATGTCAGTTGAGAATCACTGATCTAGTGTGTATTAATATACAGGGTCTGGCAGAAATATTCACCCACATAATGGTGAGACATTAGCTAGATGAAGACACCATTGCCACTAATTCCTTACCATTATGTGGAAGGTTATTTCTGATGCACCCTGTATAAATACTAATAAAACTTATTGTGCCTATGTTTATGGTAGCCTATCAATGATTCACTGGCATCATAATTGGCTTTTCCTTTGGAATGGTTTTTTGGCTTAGAGTCCAGTTCATACAATTAGAATTGATCCAATTTTTCATTTGCTTCCATATGAATGGATTCATTTATATTTTAAATAATTGCTTAAACTATGAAAAATAGTAAAATGCAAAATGTTTTTAGAAAGAATAACAATTTGTTAATCTTTTGTTATACTTTTTTAAACAACATGCAAGCCTATTTACAAAACAAATTGTTATGCATTTTATGATTGTTCTGTTGCTACACTCATAGAATTTTTAATATAGATTTGAATTATTGTTGTGATGTTCTTTTCAAATTCAATTACAAACCATAGGGTGTATTTTTTGTTTGCTGTTACACACAAAAGTTACTGCACCAATTATTTAAACATAATTGCTGCTTTGATGACCTGATAGAGCTCAGCATTTTGATCTGATAAGAAAAACAGCAGGCTTAAAAAACAAAACAAAAAAAACAACATTGGATTTTTGAGGTGAGTGAATTTAAGTTAAGAAATTGGCACCTAGCTACTTAGGTCTTAAGGGGGAAAAAATCCACATTACATGGTGCTTTGTGAGCCTTTGGGCTAATTTTGGTAAGAGTTCGAATAATTTTTATTTAGTTTGGTTGGTTTGTGGCCCAAACGCTATTGCCAAGTAGTTAATAATAAGCAACAAACATTATAGCAAAATAGCTAGCTAATATAAGAAAAAAAAAATAGATAGCTTTTAGAAATAATGAAGATCACTAAAGGGAAAAAAAAGCAGCTAAGTCATTTCTATGACTAAGCTGTTTCATAGTCTATATTCACTATTGTCTTTATTAATTATTTTACATTACTACATATTTGTATTTCCCTTAATTTTATCTATTTGATTCATTTCAAATACATTACTTAGAGGGAAAA